AGAGAGCCGTGACAGGATCGAGAGGTGAGCGAACCCGGTATGTGTTCGCTCACCTCCCGATCTACTGAGCCGACCTGTGCCAGTCTCATTGTCATAGGTCGGCTAGAACTATGAGGTGAGTGGGAATCACTCATTTCATAGTTCTCCTTTAAGAAGGAATTGACGTTCTGCAATTGTTGAAAGTAGCTCTCCATAGTAGGGTTGTTTGCGTGCAAGCCTTGGGATAAGAAAGATGGATGGAACTAGATGTCCCGATACCGATGCTAGTACCGGTATCGGGGCCGATACAGGGCATTTTCAGGAGTACTTGTACTCCTGAAAATGCCCCGATGCCTAGATCAGATACACATTGTTGGCATAGAAGGGGGTCTGTTTGGTAGAACTACTGATGGTGTTATTGTAAGAGAATTCTGCAAGTGGGAGTAACTCATTCCAGTCGTCCTGCAAGTGGATAAAATAACAGCGCAAGTATTGTTCCAGGCATTTGGTGATCCTTTCGTTTTGTCCATTTGTCTGAGGATGGTATGCGCTGGAACGTCGGTGATCAATCTTGAGCTTTTGACAGAGAGCTCTCCAAAATTTAGATGAATTGTGTCGGTATTCCATGTAGTTTAACCCCTTCGTGACTGACGACGTACAGTGTACGTCGCCAGCATCGGGGCTGTTTAAACAGACTCCATTGTTTCCGAATGTACCTAGTCTAAGACCAACCAAATACACACATCATTTCCACTCACTAGCCCTTTCACCACCACAAAGAACTCGAACGAGTCCCCGATAATCACTGTGAGAACACTTATGATAATTATTATATGTAAGCTGCGCTCTGTTTATTTCTTAGATCTTTAAGTCCTTACTTTCTGTTAGCCAGATAGTTGATGTTGGCATCAATTTCATGGATGCCCTCAGCTGCCAGCATATGTAATTGATATACTCTGTCTGCTTCCTGATAACTCCATTGCTATGGAGGCTCTTCTGTTTCAACGTTGACATCTGATATCTTGACTATCTGAAATTACATTGTAAGACTTCTTGTTGTTTAAACTGCTCTTTTAACCTCAATAAAAAAATCTTATTGCTAAAAAAAAATAAAATATATTTGTTATTAAAGCTTCGACTGTCTCTTTTGACGTGTGCAGTTTTTTAAGTGGAATGAAGTGAGCCATTTTTGTGAGAATATCAACTACAAGAATAGTGTTAAACCCCTCCAGCAGAAGGTAGGTCTACAAAGAAGTCCAAGGACAAATCTTGCCATGGTTTATTTTGAAGGGGTAGGTTTGTTAGTAGGCTGAAAGGAGGCCTGGTGTCGGGTTTGCATCAAGCGCAGGTTTTGCAGCAGTTTATGTATTTATGTACAGTCTTTGTCATCTGTGGCCACCAGAAATCGTGGCGAAGGAGGTGTAGGGTTATGTTTATTCCTGGATGTCCTGATAGAGGAGCATCATGTGAAAGCTGTAGGACTCTACACTGGAGAGATGGTGGGATAAAGAGCCTATTGTCCTCATACAGGAAGCCTTCCTCATCCTTGCCCAGTCCTACCGAGGGTGAGACTGATCTTAATGCTTCTTTCAACTCCTCCATGAGACTAAAGATGGCGCTTATGAATTGTTCTTGTGGGATGATACTAGAAGGTCAGAGAATGTGAGGATTCTTTGATCCTAGCGAGGGAATCTGCCTTCCCAACCCTAGAACCTGGTCTATACGTAATAAGGAAGTTAAAGAGGTTAAAGGAGAGTGCATCTCACTTGCCTGGAGGATAGAGTTTTATTTGCATGCATTGAAGGTTTTGATGGTCCTAAAAAAAAGATAATAGACAAGGAAGTGCATTCAAGTAGATGTCTCCTTGTCTCGAGAGCTGCTTTTATGGCAAGCAATTCTTTCTCCCCTATAGGGTAGTTTATCTCTGCAAGGGTAAGGGATCGAGAATAGAACGCTACTGGATAAAGAGAATGGTGTGACTCCTTTTGAGATAGAATACCACCAATAGTAGAGTGTGAGGCGTCTACTTCTAAGGTTGTTGGGTGTCTGGTAGATGAAGAATGGGTGCAGAGGTAAATCGGGACTTTAACTCGACAAAAGCTTCCTG